CGACATTTTGGCGCGTTCAAGAATTCCCGAGAGGTTATGCTTATCGCTCAGTCTTACCTCGTTGTTAGTCTTCAATTTGCAGAAAATATCATGTACATGACGATCGACGTCTTTTTTACTTCGAAACATTTTGGAGAACTCTGCTTTGTGATTTATTGAGGATGTAAAAGAAAACAATTCCAGAACACCTTACGCGTGGTCGTGTGCACAGCGTAACCTCGCCAAGACGAAGGAGCCGGTCGCTTCGTTTGGTTCTTTATCTTTATCTCTCTTTCTCTCTCTGTCTCGCTCTCTCTCTCTCTCTCTCTCTCTCTCTCTCTCTCGATATATATAGGATGAGATCCACGCTTATCCTCTCTTTGTCACAAATAAGAATCACAATCTTTCCAAGGCATAATCTCGATAGTCTATAACCGTCGTTCGAATTTCTTCCTTTCCTTTATCACAGCCTCCCTTTCTCTTCTTTGCTTGAGAATTGAAACTACTTTTTGCCCCCCACGTTACGGGAACAAGCCAGTTTTATCATAATTGATACACTACAGCGTGTGTTATGGTGTGCGTGCATAAGTACAACCAATGCGGTAACGTAAAGCTTCAAAGCTTGAAAAATTGCATATGCACAAATGATTGTACTTGACAGTATGAGTTTAAAAGTAATTCATGGAAGTAGCAAGAGTAAAGGGAAGCATTAACAATGACCGTCAATTAAGGGTCAGATGACAGGAATGCTTAAATAAAATAAAATATCTTTCAGGAGGTCTAAACTTTTCTATAATAAATATTATTTCAACAATGTATTTTAACAAACGATAATTTTTAAATAATAAATTAAAATTATTTTACTTTTAAAAATTATTCAAAATGGTTAGAATGACTTGAATTTGAGTCTAGTTTGTTCTTGAGATAGTCTTGCATGTAAATATTGATATTTTGTGATTTTACGTATAACATTCTTGAAATTTTAAATTATATCAGGCTCCTGTAATTGATACATATTTCTGTTTGAGTACAAAACTTTGTACATTTTCAAAATACTTGTTATTTTATTATTTTATTTATTATAATTTATAATTTCCTTTTCTTATTTAATGTGTAATTTAAATCAATTTTAAAGTAATCCTATTGTTTAGATCTTATATATTTATTATATTGAAGCATTAAAAATGAAGAAATATATATAATATTTATTGCTTCACACAAAATAAAATGGAAAAATTAGAATAAAATATTTTTAATTAATGTTAATCATCATACATGATAATATGATTTTAATAACATTGTTTATTATATATATATATATATATATATATATATATATTATTAAACATTAAACAATATCTTTTATTTATAAATTTTTAATATACAATATATATTTTGCAGATAATATATAAAAAATATATAAAAATGTAATAAATGGGCAAATTAAACATTTTAATATTTAAAAATGCTTTTTAGTTATTTTCCTCAAGTAATTGTATTCTCGATTATGATTGATTTTATATATATTATATATATATAAATTATTATAAACTATAAAATGCTTAAAATGATGGTTGTTGATATAAACGTGATAAATTTGATCCCTATATTTACTAAATAAGGAATTTGTTTTTATTTCCTTGTCTAATGTATAAAATGTAAAATTTTCGACAATCAGTGAGAAGTTATTAATACAATTGCTTTAAAAGGAAACATGTTGAAGAGGAATCGTAATTTAATGCGTACTTATGTAAAGTATTATTAGTTCAATATAAAATATAATTTTTATCGATAAATTTTTGTCTTTATAAATTATTGCTAACAAAAATTTTTTAAAATAGTTGTTGAAATAAATTAATAATTTATAATAAATACAAATAACTATGTCGATAAAAGAAATAAGATTTGTATAGAATATTTTATATGCATGCACTACACGGTGTAAATATAGACATGCGATTATAATAATAAATGCATATATTGAAGTTCTGGAAATATTTGTATAATAGTATATATATAATTTTATTGTATAAGTCTAATAATAATAATAATAATAATAATAATAATAATGATAATGATAATAATAATAATGATAATAATGATAATATCTAAAAATAATTATATAATTCTATATGTAATAAAATAGTAAAATAAAATATAGTAAACTAAATATATACATATATACTAGGGATAGAGAGAGAGAGAGAGAGAGAGAGAGAGCAAGAGCAAGGAATTACATGGTAAACTGGGAATCTATAAGACACATTCCAGTCAATCTATCAATATTTTATTCTGCTTATTGGAATTAGAACTCACGGTTTTAATCTTTTATTAGGAAATTGAACATTGGAATTATAATACTATATCATAACGAATATACTCGATTAAAAATTCAAATGTGATAAATGTTTTAGGCATAAGTATTAAATAGCTTTATTATATCTATATATGATCTGCTATATAAATATTTTGTTAAATATATTTCGTTTTGAAATTTAATTATAAATTTATGGAAAAATTTAATAATATGGCATTTCTTTTTAAATAAAGTCAGATTTAGTTAAAAATTTAACGTAAATTAAATTGATAATATATAGAAAGAACTATATAGTTCTGAGTTTTTCTCTTTTTAATGAAATCAAGCTGATGTTTATAAATTTGAAAAACAGTGTGCGCAATGACACACACACACACACATATAGATATATATATATATGTGTGTGCGAGTGTGTCATATATATATATATATATATATATATATATATATATAATATATATATACGCATTTATGCTGATAATGCGTAAGGATTTTATGCGTTCTGACAATTAAAGCTAACCTCTTTATTTATGTGATTTTTCGTTAATTATTTGAATATACATTAAAAATACTTTTCATAATATTTGAACTAACCATATTGTATAGAAAATTTAATTAAAAAAAAAAAAGGATTATAAAAACTTAGGACTAGTGTAATAATTGCTGCTCGAAACAGAATAAATATGTAAATAGGTTTTAATTTAAAGAAAAGAATGGTTGTATACATAATTCATAAATGATTATGGATAATTTTTTAATGTGATCTATAAAATTTAATTCTATACTATATATATATATATATATATATATATATATATAATAATAAAATTCTATATTGTTATAAATAATTATATTTATTTTATACAATTTCAATATGCTTATAATTTACTTTTCTTAAAACATCCTAAAACAAATGCACATCCTTGCTCATATTTCTAAGTGGTATGATATTAAGTCCATTAATTCAGATTTAGTGTGGCAGTAGTTGTTTTTAAGAATCATGATTATAATAACAATAGGTTTAAAGCAACTTTATATGTATACTTTTTAAAGAAAAAATAAGTTTTGATAACCGTTTGCTTTATGATATTTAAATCTTTATTTTCATATATAAGTGAAAAATCAGAAATTTTTTATAATCAAAAAGTAAATTAATTAATGAAATCTCATTAAGAATATACGTGATTTTTTTAAAAAATGTAAAATTTTATTATAAAGAAATTACAATGAAACTACAATATACAAAGTGGCTGATAATTCTAACAGTAATTATAAAAAACTATTGAATTCAAAAATTATTACTAATTAAAAATTTTATTTATTTCAATATAAAAAAGGTAAATTTTAAAACTATAATATATAGTTTTTAAATAACTTTAAGATGACTTACAGTTTGAAATTATTTCAGTTTAATTTAATAAACATAAATTTAATAACTATAGAAAATGTTGTACAACAATTTATTCTAAATTTGAATAATATATTTTTTTAATATATTAATCTAAATGTACTTTTTAAATATAATTACTTTTATTTAATTATTTTGAAACAATATTTTATTTAGAAGAATAATATATAATAAATATAAATAACATTAATTCAGAGGGTTAAATTTAATTTTTATATAAGTGTAACTTTATTAAATTGAACTGTAATGTTATTAGGAGACGTAACGCACTATAATTTTTAAACAATTTCAAGAAATATCTTCTGACATTTGTAGAAAGAACATAAAATTTGAATCATTTAAACGACAAAGTTACTAAATTTTCTAAATTGTAACAGAAAAATCTTAAATTAACCATAAGAAGTTTAACATATTGTTATTTTTATTTATGTAGGTATAGATTGCATAGAATTTAATAAATCTATATACTGAAGTAATAATAATTTCATGTAAAACTAAATATTTTATAATTTGTTTTTATTTCGTTGATGAGATATTTTATTACAATTAAATTGTAATTATTAATAGAATACAGTATTAATAGAAATATAAATTATAAAACTACATTGTTAAATTTCAGATATGTATAATATTTGTAAATTGGTATAATAATACTCTTTATAAATCTTTTTTTTTTTTTTTTTTTACTAATTTCTACATGATGTTAATTCTATAAATAAGATTTTAAAATTTAATTTATGTTTACAATTATATATTTAGTTTATTATGTTCATTTTGTTAAATTTGTATTAATTTGTAATTTTTGGTAACTGTTTTGAAAGTGGGACGCATATTTATTATAATGCATATGGTTTAATGAATAAAGGTAAAATAATATTACATTAGAAGAGAAATAGCAGATATAGATAATAAATATTATATAAGTGAACATATTTATATTATACACATAAATATAAATTATAGAATATTCAACCATTGAAATTAAAATTTTCATAGAATTATAAAATTTATTTTTTCAACGTATTTTTATAATTTATGTAATAATTGATTCATTATATTATGAATGACCAATATAATTTTTTATTTATATTTTAAACACTAACGGAACGTTCGTCAGGAACAGTAGAAGACCGTCAAATTTTTAAGGTATGGTTTAATCAATTTTATATCGATAAAGCAGATTTCATTATTAGCATGAAATCAATAAAGAAAAGCGCTGTGGGAGCTCCTTGGTAAAGTGACAATTTTTCTTTGTGAAAAAAATTCAATTATTAATTTCGTACATAAGGCATTTAATTGTGAAAATAGCGCATGGTAAAGAATATTTACTTTATATTGAGTTAAATCAAGGATCACTTGGCAGTGAAAAATTTGCATTTTGCCTTAAACATAAAATAGTCGTTTTCAGGTCTGCTGCAGCAGAGTAACTATATTGTATTAAAAACATGTCAACTGTTGTAGACGAAAGGTAATCCTTTTATAATTAATTTAACATAATTCAGTTTTTATTTTATAATTGTAATTTAATACATTTTTATTTTAAAGAGTGACTGATGAAATAGAAGCTTTAAAAGCTATTCTATTGGATGATGAACTTAATATTGTACATAACGATAGGTATGTCAATTTTTGTAATAATTAATTAAATATTTGTTAATTGTCTATTATATTTTAGCATGTTATTAAATATATTTGTTGAGATAATGTTCTGAAAATTGTAATTATTTTCTTATTCTTATGTATTCAAATTTTTATTACAAAAGAAGATATCCATTATAATTGAAATTATAATTTTAAAAAGTTAATAATGTAATTATTTGTATTGTTAAAATTATTAATTGTTGATTAATACATATAATAATGATTAATTTCTTTTTTTCGTTAATTATTCTTTAATAATTTTTTCTTTAATTATTACTTCATGTTTATATTTATAACAAGATAAAAATATTATAGTATAAAAGTATTTGTAATCAGGATTATCAATGATTATTATACTATCAACATTAATTAATTCTATACACTGCAAAAGACAAATATAGCTTTTATATATTGCATATTTAAAAGAGGTGAACTGGAGTCAATCGAAACAATAGTATTTCCATCAACAGGAGAAGATTCACAATCTCAGTATGTATGTGTTAGATTAATTGTGAAACTGCTGCAAGGTTATCCCGATACGACACCAATTGTTTATTTACGAAATCCAAGAGGTTTAGATGAAGAAACAGTTAATCAAATACAGTCTGATGTTGATACTAAATGCAGAGATTTTGTTGGTCAACCTGTAATGTTTGAGTTAATTGAGGTAAATAAATTGAATTTAAATAATTTATTAAAAGATTTATTTGACATTAATAGTTCATAAATTAGAAAATTAGTGCATCTTTCTAAACATGTATTACCTATAACTAAATTAGTTTTGTATATATTTTGTATAATTATATTTCATAATAATAATGAATTTATGTAATTATTGCTTAATATATATATTAGCTTGTTAGAGAGCACTTGACAAGAAGTAATCTTCCAACTGGCCAATGTGCAGTTTGTTTATATGGATTTCATGAAGGGGATGAATTTACAAAAACAGAATGTTATCATCATTTTCATTCTCATTGTTTAGCTGCTCATGTTGCAGCAGCAGAACGATATTATAGAGAAGAACAAGAGAAATTACCATTATGGCAACAGGATACATCAAATAAGTTCCAAGTATGTATCTTTAATTTTATTAATATTAAGATTAGGTATCTTTAACTTTTATAAATATATTTTTGTATAGAATCAAATTTCATTAATTGTAAGTTATTGTTCAGAAAATATTATTAAAAAGTATTTATAGATATGGATTTTTTTAAATTTATTTAAATATAATGTTTTAAATGAATCAGTTATTGAGAATTTTTTAAGAATTATAATAAAAATATTAGTGTAATAAAAATTGTAATAAAATTTTTTATTATTATTTATGAACTTCAATTTAAAAATTGTAATTCCTAGTTAGTGAAATATATTAAAATTAATGTTTATTATACAAAGTTAACAAGAATGTTTTAAATTATTAATTTATTTAAGTTATAAAAATGCCTAATGCTTATAATAATTTTAATTCAATATAAAGAAATAGGATATACAATGTAATATTAAGTAGAAATTCGTCGAACACATTAAAACAATTCTATTTCCAGGCTCTTTGCCCTGTTTGCCGTGAATCGATTAACTGTGATGTGGATAGTCTCGTCGGAGCACCACCTCCAATCGATGTTGAGGCTGCATCAGGTTTTGCAGTAAGCCAGGATCTTCTTGAAATGCAGCATCAAATGGCGAAATTGTTTCTACGTCAACAACGTCGTGGCGGCATTATAGACTTGGAGGCAGAAGGTGTGAAACTCTTGGTGATGACCGAAGATGATTCCAATGATACGATCGAGCAGTCCAATTCATCTGAAAGTAATGCCATTGCTAGTCAGTCAACTTCTATGGTAAGCCCTTAATAAGAAAAATTCATCTTAAAAGCAAGTTTCTCCCTTTTTTATCAATGTATTTATTTAGACAAAACAGATATTACCGAAATGTTTTGATAAAAATAAGTTTAATTTTAACTTTTGAAACATTGATTGCAATGTTTATTTTAATAGATAATAATTAAAGTAAAAAAAAAATCCAGATATACCAAGTGTAAGTAGTGATGAAATGCTCTATATGAAATGAGAAAGAGAGAGAGAGAGAGAGAGAGAGAGAGAGAGAGAGAGAGAGAGAGAGAAAGGATGAAAATAAAAAATAATTTGCTCAATTCATTATTTCAATTTAAAAATCAAGCTTCTTATTTGTCAAATGGTAAATATAAAAACCCAGGAATAGTATAAAAACTGAAGATTCATACGATTAGTAAGTTGTGATAGTTATCCTTTAACCCATCAGCAGTTGAAGCAACATAATCAACAGCAACAGCAGCAGCAACAGCAGCAATCCCAGAATCACAATCATAGCCGTCAATCACATCATCATCGAAATCGAGGCCGAGGCAAGGCTCAATACCGACGTCATTTCGATCGCCTACGTCAGAGCGATTCGGCCCCCAGATGACAATGGGCTACTAACAACCGCCAGCATAACCACTTTCAGCCGGAAAAGTTTTGTGTAGGCTGCGCTGGAGTAACTATAATGATGATAATATATTCTGTCGAGATGGCTATTACCGCGTACAGAGTTCGAATGTGCATCGAATTCCTTTTCTTCTCATTCAGTATGAAAAACTGTCGACTTGTACATGTAAGCACGGTTAAGAATTTATAGGTATTGTTGTTCAGCAACATTCCCAATACGACGGTGTATAAAATGGGACGTGTTGATTATTACTACTGCTACCTCTATTACTATTACTACTATTTCTACTATCGCCAATCGTACTACTATTACTCCTACTATGACTACTGCTATCGCTACTGTTACTACTACCACTACAACTACTGTCACTTCTATCACTACAATTACTGTCACTTCAACCACTACCGCTACTGTCACTTCTACTACTACCGCTGCTATTATTATTATGGCGACAGTGATCGTCAATGTAGATTGAAAAATGGGCAATGGTGCGTGCTTTTGATATCAACCTGCCCCAGCTGACCATATTCTTCATTACGTGTGCTAATACATGCGTATATATCATTTTGACGTATGCGTGCGTCCCTTAATCTCAATAGACAATTGTATAAAAAGTTTTTTATTAATTTTTAAATTAACGTATTTATTAATGTAATTATAACGATAATGATAATGCATACAAAAGGTACAATGTCTCGAAAACCTTAGGCCGTTATAATGTAATTGTTGATATAAAACAAATAATGATAATAAATACGGAAAGTATCGAGGCATAGAAAGTACTACCTATTAATTTTTATTTTTATTTTATTTTTTAATACCGAATAATATGTAATTATGTAAACAGAATTCAAATTTTTAGGGGGCCTTGTTTTTATCAGTTGTCTAAATTTCGTCGTATAAATAATTAAAAAAATATAAATTTCGTAAAGTACAAAAAATTAACATAAAACACAAATTTCTCTGTTTACAACATTTTTATATATTTTGTAATATATTTTTCAAATTTTTCTAATTGTTAACTGAGCATCTTCGATAAAAGAAATTGTTAACTCAAAATTGATATTAAATGTATTTTAATAGTAATTTTAATTGTACATACATGTCTTACATTATCTTTTTTTAGGATTAAAATCAAAATTATGTTTTGGAAGAGACTAAAACTTTAATCTTTTAAATAATCAATGTAATTATTGATTTTTATTATTTAAACAATGCTTGACTGTGATATTTTCCTATAAGATATTTTTTTCAATATATTTATGTCTGTGTTTTTCAATTATTTTATTCAAGAGTATAATGTAGTTTATTTAGATTAAAATTTTTTATAAATTAATTCATTTATTTTAATTCTTCATACATCCACATTATATAGATAATCACATTTTAATCGATAAAATACATTAAATTAAATGTAAAACAAATATTAGGCAGATTTATAAAGAAAAGTTAATTTAATAATTTAAAAAGAATAATTTAATAATTTAATCTTAAATTAAATTACAATAAATTTATATTTATTTTAAATAACTAACACTCTTTTTAACTACTTAAAAAGCCAACTTAAAAAAAGCTTTATAAAATTAAATTCAATCTCCATTTCTCTCAAGAGTATGGTGATGGATGAATTTATATATCAAGGAAAAATGTATGAAGATAATGTAAAATAAATAATTAAAGGCTTGTTAGTATTGTACAAATTTTCATTGTGGGATATACCCATATTATATACTGTGCCATAAATGTTGCCAAATCTAAAAGTTTTTTTGTTTATTGATATCAATACTCACTATGTGCTTGTAAATGTTGCTTTATTCATTAAATTACTTTAGACCTTTAATGTTTTTCTGTGAAGAGTAAATTTAATATTGATTTGGAATGATGATTATGTAGATTTGTGGAAATTAAAGAGTATAATTATAGAATAAATTGATTGTATTTTGAAAAAATTTTTTTTGTTAATTAATACATGTTATCATTTAATTTTCCTACTTATTTGTATATAAATGATGCATTATTTTTCATTTTGTCATTTAAATTTTAAACAACTTTAAGAGGAGGAGTTTTAATAAGTTTAGTATATACATATTTGTATTTTTTGTATGAAAAAAATATTTATTATATCTGAATTCATGAAATTCAAATACTGCGTTTGTATTGCACAAAAGAAACCAATAATATATGGACTTCACAGTCTTTTGTTCATTTGACACTTTTGTATATGTATTTGACATCTTACCTAAAATTATATAGATTGTATACAAATATTCTTTATAGAACTATAAATGCTACTTGATTCAACTCTGTATAATTGGATTTTGAATCTAATAAAAATATAATCATTACATACCACATGTGACCTAATAATTTATTATTTAATTAATAATTTTCCTTTATAAGAAATATTACATCGTTGTAACATATAGTAATTTACAGATTTATTTTTTATATTTAAGTGAAAAACATTTTACTTATATCTTTTCTTCATTACTACATAACTTGTAACTATAAAAATATATAATTTAAAATTTTAACATTACAATACAATAAAATTTAATGAAGTTAAATATACATCTATGTAATTACAAAAATTCATATTTACTTTAGATTTATTTTATATAAATTTAATAATTTCGATTCATTATACTTAATTTTTTTTTTATAATTAAGTTCTAATTTACACATCACTTATAAAGAATATTAACATAATACAATATAAAATTTTATTTAAGATTATTCGAAAATACGACGACACAATATAATTTAAACAAATATAACAGTGTGTATAAATAATTTAATAGTTGCAGCTTATTTTAATTCAAATTATTTTTGTACTTCAGAAAGTCAAAAGAAATAAAAACTTTTAACAAATACATACAACAATCATATACGTAAATTTTAATTAAAAATAATCAAAAATTTTAAACTGTAATTTTTACTTATAACTTGGTATTTGCAGATATTTGAGCAAATAGTGCAAGAACATGATTTTACTAGCTAAATTAACTATATTTTCATATACATTCAATTTCTTAAAATACTGATTGATCATTGTTCGATAATGATGGAATATTGTGGCAATTGTTTGGCTGATGAATTTTTTCACCTTTGTAGTTTTCGAACTTCAAGTATAATTTATTGAGTTCTATTTGTATCGGTTCCCAAAAGTTTTCACTCTTGGATAATATATCATTAATGGTGATGAGTAATTCTGGATTGATGAGATTCGGGGAAGGTAAACTGGCAACTGCAAAGCTTGATATGCTGCCATCGGCATAGCCTTCGTCAAGATTATCTTCAGACATCTTGGTGAATTTTAATTGATTTTTTAAATCCTATAACAAAAAATTCCAAAAATTGCAAGAATTAGATAGTAATTTGAATATTTGAATGATTTTGTTAGAGATATTTTATTGTGGCTTTAGATCCAATAATTTGTAGAATGTTTTATTTATTTGTAATGTTCTTAAAATATACCAACTTTAACATTTAAAATACTGTTCAAAATGTATTACTTTGACGATAGTAAATTTATAGAATTCCAAATTTTATAAAATGTATATTAATCATATTTAATATTAATAATTATTTTAATAAAATCGAAAAAAAAAAAATGGAATATTAAAATTACTGTTAAGTAAAGAAATTCATTACGACTATTGAAAATGAAAATAAAATTCTATGGTTTATATAAAGTTTTTATTTTTAATTGCATTAAACTATATATTTGTGCTATATTTGTGAATAAAGCTGTTTAAATTATTGGCAGTATTAAAAATTTATATTTAATTTAAAAACAGTATTAACCGAAATATCCAATTCGTTCTGATTTAATAAATTTTATTTCTGTTAAAACAAGTTTTCAATTATTTTAAATAAATAGCACATTCCAACTTAAATCTTACGTAAATTATAAGTATTAGTTTTCCTAGAAAGTAATACAAATTTTATTTATATCTTACTTTGTCTATTTCAAAATGTTACTTTAAATATTTCTTTACAAGAGCATCAAGTTTATTCATAAAAAATTTTAAATATTACAAAAATGTCATGTAATTTACTGAGAAATTATAGATGCAAGTAGTTATTTTGTTGTAAAATAATAAACTTTGAAGAAATTTATATTATGAGTCAGAAAAAATATATTGCGCAAAAAGTCACTGAGCACTTAAAATTTAAATAATATAATAGAAAAAATGATATTCAGAATTTTACATTAATAAGAACTCGCTGCTTATTGCGTTCCTGATAGAGCTGTATCTCCAAATCGTTGGTCTTTTTCTTTTCTTGTCTCAATCTCCTGAAGAGAGATGCATTGGCTGAATAGGATAGTGACTTTAGTCTTTTGTTCTCATTGTAGATAGCTTGCACAGCGTTTAATTTCTCTTCCAACTCAACGTTTCTGCTTTTCAACAACTTATACTGGACTATCATTTTTGTTAGCTGCGAGCGCAACTTCTCTATGGCATCTTCAACCTATTTACGGTTTTGTTTTAAACAAACTATGATATTTGTATAATATTATGTTTTTTTACCGAAATCGAATGTACTTGCATTTTATACACTCAATATTAAATGTAAAAATGATAGAATCGTATATTATATTATATAGTATTTGTAGTAGTATTATATTATATTATATAGTAATTGTCATGACAAAATATTGGAAGTAAATAGAATATATTCTCGTTGTAAGGGTTTGCTAATAAAAAACAGAAGAATATATTATTGAGCAGTTGAGAACGAAAATCGAATTGTTTTGGATAGTTAATAAAACAATTGAATTATGAATTGATGTATTTTTTCAAACACTATGTTCAACGATAAATTGCTAGATCTGTACATAAGTGTATTGGATATGAAGACAAGTGGAAAAGATCTACAATGTGAATCAAGTACTGACCTGTTCGCGCTCCTGCCTGATCTGCATCAGATGAATCTGCTGTATGTCGCTCTGGGAATTCATCTCCTGTAGTTGAAGACGTAGCTCACATGCGGTCTCTGCTATTTCCTCCTTCTCATTTTGACACCTCTGCAGGCTATTTTCTACGGTAGATAGGAGAGTTTGCTGCTTATCGAAAGTACACTCCATCGAAGCTTTCTCTATCTCCGAACCGATCAAGCGTTGCTCGAGCTTTCGTAACTCCGTTCTCGCAACCACGAGTTCCTCCTCCATCGATTCTAGTTTGTTCGATACGCTTTTGTGTATGGCTATTGACACCGTTGATTCTTCTAAGTCCGACAGCACTGCCCTGCAAGTCTGCGAGCGTCTTTTATTATTCGTCACGTTGCATACGTACTTGAGATGTGCTGCATTTTAAAAAGCGAATTGCTGGAGGTGAAGCTAAACGACAGGGCCGTTTATTTTATTATCAAAGAATAAATTATGTTCATCTCTTAACTTTAAATATATCGACCTTTTAATTTTATAATTTTCATGACGATGCTTATAAATAGTCTTTTTTACTTTACTTGTAATATAAAGATTAGCCAATAGTCAATATGGTCACTCCAATGGGTTTCACATTTCCAAATGTTATCCATAATTTTTAACATCAATTTATAACTGATAGAAATTAATTATTTGATTATTTTATTATATTTTTTCATTTATAAATAATTAATATCAAGCAAGAATAAAAATACAATACAACATAAGCTAAAATAAATTTTTTTTATATTCAATTGCAGAAATTAAATTAACCAAAATATCTTAAACAGAATTTAACAAAGTATAAAGGGCAATTTTCTATATTACACTTTTACTGCATATTTTAGTAATTATTCATTCTGTTGTGCCTTTACTTACCTTAATACTATTATTATTTATTTTTAATGATGTAATCTCCGCTTGTAATATATCCTTTTCATTTTTATGCTTTTGTATAAAGATTAAGAAATCTTCATTTAACTGCTTCCATTTAGCATTAATATTAATTAAGGTTTGATGCTTCTTTTTTAACATACTTTCATATGTATCTATTTCTATTTGTAAAATCTTGTTATTGGCTTGTGCATCATGTAGTTGTCTTTGATACCATTCTAATGAATTTTTAGCAGCAGCAAGATGACATTGTATATCTATTGCAGAATTATGAAGTTTTTGCTTCTCCTGCATAGAAATACAAGCTTCGATATACAATTCTGCTATCTTATTTTTTAGTCCTTGATTGGCAGCATTTTTGGCATTTAGTTCTATTTTCAAATTTTCTAAATCGATTCTTAAATGTTCGTTATCTAATTCTAGTAAGGCTATACGTTTTGATAAGTCTATGTTTGTTTCATCTGGTGTTGCAAGATGATTAGATCTAAACTCATTTGTTGATGTAATAGATTCTAATTCATACTTTGATGAATCTAATCCAGCATCCATTTTTCAAAATATTAAATTCCATCTAAAATCAAATCATCGATTATATTATATAGTAACAAATTTCTATCTGATACTTTTCAACTATTAAAAGAGGTAAGTATGTTTTAATAGGCAAATATTTATAATTATTTTCAACTAACGATTAAATAAGTAAGTAATTTAAGACCATATCAGTAAATAATATACAATATAATTCTTATCATTATAAACATATGTTTTTCAATTAAAATAATTTGTTAATATTAACATTATGTAATTATAATTGTCATGCGAAAAGAATAAAGAACTTTAAATCAATGTTTTCATTTATTGTAATGTATCATTTAAAATTTGTTAAATATTAGTCAATTATTTATATAAATATATATATATATATATATATATATATGATAATCAAAGTTATTCAATATAAAAAAAGAAAAAAAATTGCAAGTTAGAAACAAGATAGTTTTTAGTATATTTTCGTGATATAAGTTAATAAAACAAAGAATTATGAGAGATTATGAATAATCACCTACTACAATTAACTTTCTTCTCTATACTCTTCTCTTTTTAGGATTTTAAAATCTTTCGCATCAGATTGACGAGATTTTACATAGTATTTCGAAATCATTCTATTCACACAAATTTTACGTAAAACAATTGACTTGAATATATGGCACTGAAATTCTTGCAAATATGAAAGTAACATCCTATTGTGATTCAATCCAGAAAAACTGCACCGTTACAATTATTCATTTGACATTGAATATTTCGGACTAAAGCATTATGCATTCCACAAGTGGAATTGACAAAGATAAGACGAGGATGTAAGGGCCAATGGACTTGTGGGCACTAAGTAGGTAGGACTTGAAAGTTTAAAATTATGAGGTTTAAAACCATAGTAAATTGATTGTTAAATTTATGATATTAACTAATTGACGATGTAATGTCAGCTATATAGAGAGCTACAGAAGCAGCGCGATTCGTAAGGATTTTTTAACTACTAGATATTAGAAATTGAATATAAAAATTTGGGTATATTCTATTATTAATGATATCAATGTGTAGTTAAGGCGACAAAATTGTTGATAGATAATCGAATATACATAATATATATATATAAGCTTAAAAATTTTCTAAATTATCAAACTGAGTATTTTAAGTGCGATTGCTCACAACGTATATACGCATTCAAATCAATCTGTTACACGCTTGACACTTAATTCGCCATTCGCACAATCTATTGTACGAGTAAAATAATTTAATCAACAGTACTACGCTTGACTATTTTCTGTGTTGTTTATAGTTTGAAGCATACAACTTTACCAATGTTATATGCGCGCTCATTTTGACAATAATAAAGAAAACGAGGCATGACGAATAACTGTATTATGATTATAATAAAAACGTGCATATTTTTATTATTTGAAATTTATTCAAAATAAATGAAAATAGCGAATAAGTAGCATTTAATTACTGCCAACATAGTTTTTAATTTGTCTTGTTCATAATTTAAATTTGTAAATATTTGTGTCGATAAGCATTTTTTGTACACATTTCTTAATTAAAATTAAATTCAAATATTTAGTACTTTTACTTATCTCATTATTGTTATATCATTCATTTATATAATAATAATGTAATCAATATATTTATTTACAATTAGCTGTATTTTATATTTAAATAACTTTTTTAATTGATAGCAATAGTCTTTTAACTATATATAATATTTAAGAAAGTAACCAATATACAACACTACATTACTGGCTAGAAAACAATTTTTATACTTATTTCTTTATACATTATCAATTTATTTAAATTAATTATATATATGTTAAACTTAGATCTCCAATTGCGCATGTCTCAAATAAATAGCATATACTTTCCTTATGAGAAAAATAACCTCAAATCGATTTTGTTATTTATGTGGATCTTATTATTATTATTGTTATTATGTGATTCTGTGTAGAACTAATGAATTTTAGATAGTTTCAAAGCTTATATTTATATTACTTATAGTTTGTACTATTTATTTATATGTGAATAAGTATAAAATTATTGAACAGTTAAATAAATCAAATTATTTTTAACAATTTAAAAATTATAAAAATTTAAGTGAAAAAAAATATAACAGTTATTTATAATTAAACATTGATTATTATCATAATTAGAATGTCAGAAGATAATTCTGGAGATGAAAAAGAATTAGATAAACCATTAGTTGCTAAAACTGCGGTAGATTTACAGAGATTGAAACTTCTGAAATTAATGAAAAATCCTGTAAATATTTAACAGTTTTAAAGTGTTAAATACAGTTAAGATAAATTAATTTTAATCTAATTTTTAAGGATAAACCAGTAATTATACCAGAGCGTCCAAAAATAAAAAGCACTCCTACTGTACCTGAATTTGTTCGAAATGTAATGGGAAGTAGTGCTGGAGCAGGTAGCGGTGAATTTCATGTTTATAGACATTTGCGAAGAAAAGAATATTCTAGGCAGAAATATATTCAAGAAAAAGGACAAAGGGTTTGTATATTATTATTAATTAATTTATAATAGTTCAAATATTTATATTTTTGGATTATTAAAAAAGTTTTTTAAATGTTAACTTTGATTAACTTAAATTCATGGATTGTATCAAGATTTTATTATAGCTCTTATTTATAGGAACTTCTTGATAAAGAATACCATGAAAGATTAGAAGAAAATAAAAAATTGGCAGATGCAACTACAGCTAAGAAACGTGCCAAAAGATTAAAACGTAAAGAAAAATTTAAGCAAAAAAAATTTAAGATAAATAACAGTATGAATAATCAGGAAGAAAATAGCGATGAAACTGATGATGACAATCAATGTTCTGATGATGATAAAGATGAAAAACTGAATGTACCACATGTAGAAGGTAAAAATAATCGTAAAACATGAGATGTTAAAATTAAAGTACAATTACAAATGAAAGTCTAAATATAAAATCTAAAAATGTTTCAGAAGCAATTAACTCTAATAATAAGATTGAGAAATTGAATAAAGAAAATTTAAAAAAAAACAAAGCTCAAATTTACATTGAAAATATGGATAAAACTGGTAAAAGTACCAATCAAAGCATTGACAATATACTAGATAAAAATGATAAAAAAATCGATATTGATAAAGGACATGTATTAATTTTAGATAAAATTACCAATGCAGAAAATATTACAGAAGATATGATCGTAGATAATAGTTGATCATTAAAACTTAAAAATTTTCAAATTAATTATCTGTTATAAGTTATATATTAAAAAATTTTAATTTTTATAAACAAATTATGTACAACTCAATCATTTTTATATACAATTATATATATATATATATATATATATACATATATTTATGTATGTGTATGTGACTTCAATTTAAAATAGACAAGGTACCCATGTTATCATATCTTTCATCCTTTTTAAATAATTCTACTAATTTGGTAGCTATTTGTTTTTCATTGGTTTTTATAGCTTGCTGAGCAAATAAAGTAAATTGTAGTTTAGCCTTCATTAGATCTCCAGCTTTTTCTGGTAATACATGCTCCTGTAAGGAAGGATTAATGAAAATATAATGTCCTTTTTATATTATAAATATTGAATGAAGAAATTAAAAATTATTTTTACTTGAAATTGTTTAATATGATAAATAATATCGTCAAAATGATCCTTTATTTCTATCCATAATGATTCCAATTCTGATATTTCAGTATAAACCGCCAAGTGACAAAGTGTAAGACAAAGCTGAAAATAATTTTATATCATTTAATACTAATTTTATTCTTAAATTATATATACATTTATTTTAATTTTTTAATTATTTTAGAAATATGCATTTATATTTTTAATTACTACTTGGTAAAATTAATTAAATCTTAAAATATCTTTTCATAATGAGCTTTTTTTTTTAAATATTTTGAAAATTGTTTTATTTATATGTTGCTTTGAGTCAATATATCCATGCTTTAAAAACTGAAAGTTATTTTAACACTTGACTTTTAAACTTTTTGGGAATAATGTATTTAGATATTCATAATTCTATTAATAAAATAATAATGTAAAAATTATATATATTTAGTTTTTATTATCCACTAGGATTGAATCATTAAATTTATATATAATATGAAACTTTAAAACATCTATTACAAATATATGGAAGACTTAAAAATAAAGCTATTTATATTTTATATGTAGTTTGTATTTTGAAATATATAGTAATGTAAATCACAAAGTTAATAAATATATAAATAATTATATAAAAATATTTTAATAATATGACATTAATTTATTAAAACTATATCTTTTATTAAATTAATTATAACTTGTTATGATTTTTGTTTTAGAATTATAATATTAAAAAATATAGGGTTGATTTACAAATTTACAAACCTGTTGTACAAGAGCATCTCTATGAGGATATTCAACATAACTAGGTACATGTTGTGAATTTTCAAGTCCTAACATTATACTTTTCCATAATCTAACTATATATTTATCATAAGATTCACAAACTGATAGAGCCCAAGCTGCATTTGTACGTACTTTAAAATTTGGACTATTGCATACTAAATCACATAATACTGGAAAAACTTTATCCTATTTATAACAAAAATAATTTAATTGTATATAAAAATAGTAATAATTTTGCATTATTTGTTTTGAAATTATATTACATACTTTCCATAGTGTTGGTAATACTGTATCTGGATTACGACTTAAAATTGTACCAATAGCTCGACATGCATTCCATCTTACCTGAAAATAAAGTTTGAAAAATTAAATTATATTAGAAAACACAAAATTTTTATTTTATACCTTCATATCATTTCCGGTTGCAGCACAGTTAAGCACAGCATTAAGGCCAGATAAAGTATCTTCTAGAATTGATTTTTTTTTACATAAATACATAATATTTCCTATTGCTCTAACTGCATTACATTTAACTTTCTCATTATCTTGAGCTGATTTAATGCTGGTCTTATAAAGTTTTGGTAATACAATATCCAAAGGTACCGGTTCAACTTCTGAGTTGCTTCTAAAATATAAATAATAATAATAACAATATAGATAATAATAATAAATTTTACAAATTTCTAAAAAATTATTATTTATTATCATTATTTTATTATAATTGAAATAAAAAATTTACTAGTTTAAATTAAAATGATCAAAGTTTGTAAAACATCATATTAGTAGAAAAAGTGAATTTTTAAATGCAGTAAAATCTATAACTTACTCTCGTTTAACTAAACAGTCACAAAGACTAGCTAAAGCCCAAGCAGCTTTAACTCTTACTCCGAGATTTCGATCTTCAGAAGCTGTACAAGTTATATCTGTTAAATCCATAAGGAATCCAGTATCTTCTTCTAAAGATGATAAAGATACCAATAGTCCTAAGGCACGTAAACTAGCAGCTCTGACTGCGCTTTCATCATCTTGTATTGCTCCGAAAAGTACTGTAATTATCATTATGCTTTTGTCTCTCTAAAATTTAAAAATCCAATCTAGAATTTTATGTTAATTTAACATATATATTTACTGAAAATGTATTTTTTGCTTTAACACTAACTGGTAGTTGGGCAAACATTTCAGCGCCAATATTCCCTAAACAGTCACATGCTACTTCTCGCAAACTAGTTTGGGTATGTTGTACCAATGAAATAATAGGATTGAATGTAATATTCCAAAATTTACATACATCATCAGATTTTAAATCTGCTAAACGTCCTGCAATAATTTCCAAGACACGACAAGCATGAAATACAACTTGTGCCTCTTGCTCTTTAGTTATTTCAATTAAAGTTCCAACAATTAATTTAATATGTGGAAAAATTAGACTACTTGCATTAAAAGCTAGTGTTCCCAATAATTTCAATGACTGCAGTCTAACTGGTTCATTTGCAGTCTACAAAAGTACAATAAATTTGTAATAAGAAACTAGTGAATAATTTAATATTCATATAAAATAATATACTTACTTCATTTGAAATAGTTTTAAGACAAACTTGAACTAAAGCACTTATTTGTATATCTTGAGTATTATCATCTGTATTAAAATCAATGTTTTTAATATTTTCATCAAAGTCATCAAAAATTACTTCAGTTTCAGTTTCATTTGTAGTATTAAAATCGGAATTAGAAAATTCTGTGTCTGTATCAACATTTAAAGATTTTGCAAGAATATTAAAAATTTCTGGTGTAATTGGTTCAGATAAAGCCAATGTTTCAAAAACAGCAAGTGCTGCTACTCGAACTGTGGGATCTAACAATTATATTTATATTAGCTTATTTATCTATTACAAATATTAATTACATTTTCTGAATTTGATATAAAATATTGTTAATTATAAAATACATGATTTCTTCATAATTAGCATAAATATTATATAATTATTACAAAATATAAAATAAAATCTTTTATAAATTAATTTTGTTTCTTACGTTTATGTAACAAATGATTTCTGCAATTTCTAATTAATTTAGTAGCCAGTCCAGATTTAAGTCTGGAATACGGTGTGCCTTGTATGAGAGCAGCTGCACATTTCAAACCTTGGGTTAATACAACAACATTTCTTTCTGTACTTAATAGAAGAGATAATGTGAAATGTATTTCCTTTATTACAGAACTGAGCATTCCAAAAAATGTGACGAAAGACATTTGTTCATTATCTTCTGCGTGAGTCAGGAACATCCTAGCTCCTATTAATAAATCATTAAGTGTAATAAGAGCTATCTGTCTAATTTTAGACAGTGGCTCGCGTAAAATGCATCTTGTCAATACTCTGGCATCCGTTCTTGATCCGCTAGCAACTATTTGTGTCCAATATCCAAAAAGTTCACGATTTTGTGACTGCTCAACTAGAGTACTTAATAAATGTGCTGCTTCCAAGCGAACTTTAGACTCTGATTGAATAATATTTTTATTTTCAGTATCTGAAGTATCTGAATCACTGGAATATTTGAAAGGTACTTTAGTTTCTAAAGAAATATTATTTTTATTTTCAGTAGTAATTTTCTTTGAAGATTGTCGTTTAGTTTTAGTTTTGTGATTTCTAAAGTATTTTCTTTTCTGAATAGGATGTGTTATATCTGGTAAATTCATTGTGGATGGCCGCAATAATTGTGGTATTATATTAGGATATCCAACAATTCCATGAAAAAGATAAACTTGGATTATACCTAGAAATTCACCGATGACGTCCATATTATCAGAGTTTGATTTTTCAACAAGAACATTATTTAAAATTCGTAAGCACTGACTTGCCATCTAATAAATAAAATTTTATTTTATTTTTATCTTTACTAGTTTGTATAACAATATTTGTTAAATTAATTTAGTAAATTAAAGTACCTTATTAAAATACAATTTATCTAAATCTTCATAAGACATTTTACTCAATGTCTGGAAAGCTATTGTTTTAATAATTGTTAAAAATTCTAGAGAAATTGAACTTTCATTTGATTCCATATTAATTAAAATAGCTTTTAAACAACTTAAAGCTAAGAATTTTTCTTCGTTCCATTGCTCATTGTGGGGATAAACATATTTCAATAAAATTGAATTTCCTCCAAGTAATTTTCTAAGATCCTGTAATAAATAAAAGCGTAAAGAAAATAATTAATAATTTAAAAATTTAATAAAATACTATTCAATAATATAAATGTAATTGATTTATGTAAATTATACATAAATATAAACTATACAATATAATGATATTTGAGTATATTGAATATAATACATCATAATTCATTATTAATATTTACCTGAATTATGCTATCAAATGGTCCAGTTAATAGAAGACTTTGCAAAGCACAAAGTATATCAGGTGCAGCCATTGAATCGGAAAATTCTAGACTTTCTAGAACCCACCTTTTGCACGCTGTAAAAGTTCTACCTTGTAGTGTAATACCTCGTTTTATCAAATTTACTAAAAACTGCGAGCATCCAATAACTAAAGGAACTTCACTAGGTTGTATAATTAAACATAGCTGATTGACTAGCAGCATAATAGCCTAATAAAAAAAAAAAAATTAATGAATACCAATTATTTAAATTTCTAATAGGAATTTATAACGTTTTAATACATTTGTGATTGTAACACTTATTACAATTTTTCTTATCTTTGTATAGTATTACAATATATATTCTTTGACTTTATGTTCTTATCTTAAAAAATAAGTATACAATAGAATTCTTATATCAATAGTTATTTCAAACACTACACTAAAACTTAAATTTATCATAATTAAAGTCTGTTATGTAGTGACATACATAAAAAAAATTTGTTTCTTTTTAAATCAATGAATTTATTATAACAAACTAAATTTATTGTTTTAAAAATGTTTCTTGTAGATACTTATCAAATTAATGGAACATATTGATGCACGAAGTAAAATTAATGTAACAAAATATTTCATTTAAAGAAAATGTTCAATTTTATAATGTAGTATTCAGAATATAAATATTTCTGTAAGTATTTAGTTCATAATGCAATTTAAGAAATCATTATTACTACACTTAAACAATTTTCTTTACATATATAATGAATTGTAAATTAACACTTTCACTTACATTAGTTGCATTATTACTGACATATAAATACTATTTTGCTCATCAATTTTTATATGAAATAGCATCGATTTTATGTAAAATAAATTAACTTACACTTTTATCTTGTATGACAAATTTTCTATAATCTATTTCATTAATATTTTTGAAGAATCCATTCAGTAACTTTCTATCACAAATTCTGGATTGAGTTAACGTGAGTAATTTTTCTAATAAGAGAGAAAATTTTAAAGAATCTTCACTATCTGAATAATTTTGTGGAAAATCCATCATATGTTGCATTAATCAAGTGGTTGAACAGTAATCTTGGTTTATCCAACTCAGCCGCGTTTTTCGATTTCTAAATGCGACTTAAACCTTTGCCGATTACTATTCATACAAAATATACAGACATATATCCTATATACGTATGTTACATTAATGGACATATGTTCGTAATCTCGCATCTTCAGTTTATAAAAGGGTATTTAGGAAGGATAATTTTTAAAACATGTTAAAGTTTAAAATTAAAGGAAAGTAAAAAATTTAAGGTAAATTACTTTTTAAAAGATTCTTTTTCTTACAATAATATACAGTAAAAAAATAACATTTTTTTAAATCGTGAAGGTTATATAAAAATCGCTAAATATTTATAATTGAATAATTATATTCTTAATATAATAAAATGATTATGTACAACTGTTTATTTCTTATCAAATATGTATGGCTACATCTTTTTATCAATGTTCGCTATGTTTTTAATATTATTTTCAAGATCCTTAGTAATTTTTTGTTGTTGATCAAATAAATAAATATTTTCTATTTTCCGTCGTCTCTGTTTGTCCAGATCTTTCATTATTCCCAAAGAAAGTTTTTTCCTTTTAAATAAAAAGAAATTTTTTACAATGACTTAACATTAAATTATTATAGCTATTTTCTATAAAATTGGCAATATTTATAGTTGCTTTTACTTTTAACTTTTATACATTTGAATTATCTCATAGTGCATAACCTAATACTTTAAAATTATAAATTTTTAATTTGAAAGGAAAGAATTATGTTAATTTATTTGAATAATTTGATGCACGAATATTTATATTATATCTAAATTGAGTATAATTAAAAGATATTTTATTAATTTTATGTTGTAACTTTTAAAGAAAACAACACAGACTAAACTATATTTGCATGTGTACAACTATGAGGATACTTACCTATCAAATTCTTGTTTATAATGAATGTAAATAATTAAACCAAGAGAAGCAATTGTACTAGTTATAAGTACCATTTTAGATGTTATAGACATAAAAAATATTTATTTTTTATTTTATTCCAAGTATAATTTTTTCAAAAATTTTCTTTCCGAAGTGTATATGCTAACAGTAGTTATTTTTATAGCGACTACCACAAGTAGATGCACATGCGCGTCAAAAGTAATCTTGCCGGTAAATTTCAAGTCATTTCCAACATTTGACATTTTAACTTAAAGATCGCAGCGGAAAATAGTCGCTGTGTCAGAGATGACATATTATACATTATGTATTTATTAATAGTCATTTTTTTTTTAACGAACATATGAAGTGAATTAAAATAAGTTTGTTCTGATCTAAGTAAATAAGTCTATATTTGAAAGCACAAATTTTTATTTTCTTCAAAAATTTCAAAGCGACATATTAGAAAGTATTATTTAATGTATATACTCTATTGAATTATATTGTATTATACCGATTTTTCAGTAAATTACATTTCTCTAATGTACATTTTACATTCAAATTAGCTATTGAACGAATAAGAAAGTGAAATTGCAGAAAATACTTAATATAATACAATATTAAAGAAAGATAATATAATAGAAAAAAAAAAAACAAGTTAATCGAGCTTTAATTGATGAAATGTTAAGGATAAAATAATAAATTCGAGTGCATAGAATACAAAATGGTAAAAAAATAAACATAAAGTATAAATAAAAAATAATGTAACATAATGAGAAGGTAAATTAATATTTGAATTTATATAAATTTACTAAAGAATATTTTTTGAACATGGACAGAAATTATAGACGACACAATTACCATTCATAGTATGAGTTTTTAAAGCACTGTTAATCTTTTTTATTTAATCTGATTCAATTATCTGATACAATTAAAAAAATTGTAAAATATAGTGCACAATTTTTATCTAGAAATCTATTGTGGCGATGAGAATGAAAAGTAATTATGAAGAGATGTTGATGTGATTTGAGTAAAGTGACTAATTTGTAATACTTACGAATCAACTACATATTCTAGAGGCTATAAATGATAGATTTATTATTATTTAATAGATGGGTATGTAGTATGTAGCGGTCATATTTGCAACACTTCCTATTAAGTCATATTATTACCTCCACTCCATGAAGAATGTTAATAGTTTAATAAAAATACCTGTACTAGTTTAATTATGAAAATCAAAGTGGCCGTGAAATTATGTAAAAGTGTAATGCATAGTAGAAAGGTATATTCTTCTTTTCATTCGTGGATAATAATATTATGTATTCACTTAATTTAACACTCATTTAATAAAGTTTATCAAGTCATTTTGTGACAAAAATTGACATGTTATTTGCACAATAAATTGAATAATTAGTAACTTATAAGTGGAATTTAGATCAATTAAATAAACAATGAATTATTGATTACATATATAGCAATTGTTTTTACACAATATAAATATATAATAAGTATAATATCGGCAAATTTATATTTATATCATATATTATTAATATTACTAATATGTTATTATTATTAATATATTATTATTACTATTAATAAACAAATTAAAATAAAAATGAAAAATATTAAGATGAATTAACTTTTTAAATATAATATTAAATGATTATTACTAAATGCATTTTTTAAATTATAATTTTTGTTGTAATGTATGAGATAAGTGTGAGGGAAAATCGATAAGTAAAATTCTTAAAAAATACTATGATTTTATATTATATCGATATTGTATCAGAAATAAATTGATTAAATTCTGTTATATTAAATATGTTAATAATTTTTATATATTCATATTACATATAGTATATTTATAAAGATTTTAATACGTAGTATGGTATAAAGGATTTTTAAATCCTCATGTATTGAGAATGGTAATAATTTTACGAAACCAAAAACACATACAAAATTAAATACACATTTTCATGTTAATAAGTGATGTTTTATAATTAATAAGATCTGAAAAATGTGAATATAAATCAAGATCAGCGATAAAAGAAAAAGTTTTAATCATACCGTGTAAAAGCGGAAGGAGCTGCATAAATGTATTATGAAATAATTTTGTTTCTTTTCGGAGCTATTGACATCAATAGGATATGGTCAAGTAAAATATTCTTTCATGGACAAAATTAATATTCGGTAGAAATTCTATTGTCGACTTTTAAAGGTACGCTTTATCCGGTCTTATTGTTTTATAGGCATAGTGTAGCCGATTATGTGTCCTTTTGAGGCTTCTTAAACGTGCGTAAGACACTAAAAACGTAAGCAAAAATGATAAAGAAATACGGATACCACGAAAGAGCTAACAATGAGAAAGATAAATAAATAGAGAGGGGGGGAGAGGGAGAGAGAGAGAGAGAGAGAGAGAGAGAGAGAGGAGGATAGAGAGAAACATATATAAACTTAATATAAGATTTGATTGCAAAATTTAATAATAAACCGAATTAAATCCATCCATTCTCAAAACTTAAAATATAGAAAAAATAAATTTGAAATAATATAAAGCAGTTGTATTTTTTAAAATGATTAGTTCATAATTAATTTTATCTAAAAAATTATTTGTACAATTAATACAGAATTTTATTTAGAAGAAGCTACGGTATATACATAATAAATTATGAAATAAGTTTAAGGAAAGGAAAAGGAAATGGACAGTTAATCGAAAAGAGAACTTATGAATTATAAAGTTTAGGAATGATTGGATTATGGTGCTTGGTAACAGCAGTAATTAAAAGTGTGTAGAAAAATGTTAAATAATTAGTTTAACTATTAAAAATTTTTCTAGCAAAATAAATAAATTGGTTTTTTTGTTTTTGTTTTTTTCTTTTAAATAAATAATGTTTGAATTTATAAAATTATTATATAAATAATAGTTGTATGTTTATTAGATTTCAATGTATTTAGAGTTTTTAAAAATATTTTTATGTAAATATTAATGTGATGTGAATTTACATTATGAAATATTAATGAAGCCTTTGACGCGAAACTGTATTATAATCAATGTCTTAAAATTTACTGAATTTTTTATGTACTTCTATAATATTTTATCAACCTACAGATATTAAAATACATCTAAATTTATATACGATACTATTTAGAAATTAATTAGTAATTATGACTTAGAGAATAATTTGTCTCTTTGTACAAAGAAATATAATATACCGCTTAATACGAATTTAATACGGACAATTCCTTTTACACTCTTTAGTGCATATTATTAAAAATAATTAATCAAAATATAAAAACAATTTAATTGAGCGACAAATTATTGATAATTATATAGAATTTTGTTTGTTTATCGCTAAATATGTTTAAAAACAATTTTTTATAAGTTATCCTAATACTCGTTTGTTATTATAATTTAATTATGTATTTATTTTTTGTCATTAAAGTAATAAAAATGTGTGTAATAAAAACTTATTTTTATTATGTGTTCATTGTATTAGAATATTTTTTATGTTAATTAAGTTTATGTATATTATTAAATTTTTTTTATATGAATTAAGCCTGGAACTTGAGAAGTATATAGATAGCGTTACTTTACTGAAATATATACAATATTTATTTTGTAATTAATATTAAAGAGTAAATTATAATGTATACTTTTTCTATATATCAAATAATAATATACTCGGCTAAAAATAATGTAGGTAGGTTTTATTATAATAGGAATTTATATTAATTATAATAAAATATTCTCAAATAATAATTAAAATAATGAGTCGGCTAATGACTGCGGCAAGTAATTGTAAGACAGTGCGGATTCAGTTTTATTTACATCCATGCAGTTCATTTACTACGCTTGATTATTCTTATTTTTCAATGATCACTTGATTCGTTTAACAAAAATATAGTAGATCAGCTAACGAATTAATAATATGCAATACAGTACTGTAATTATGGTACTAAATTTCGCGATACCATTATAGCTAAATCTTAAATAAAATAGATATTGTTATATAAGACTATGCGCTCGTGTAGTCATCTTGCAAATTTCGATGCAAATCGATACGATGCAAATTACGTCGCACGTAATGTTATGCAAAATAACGATGACTACTAGAAGAATTCACAAATAACGTGCACACAAGAAAGCATGCATTAGTCTAATGTGCAATCAATTTAACGAATTGGAATGTTTTTATAAAAATACGAAATAAGCCCACGTTGGCTCAAAAAGAAAACTACTGAAATGTATATATACAACAAGAGACGCAACGTCATTGGGTTCCGAAAATATATTATCCAACAGCAACATTAAATATAATTAAAAAACTAACAGTCACACGATAATAATAAAAGTAGTCGGGACATTCTTGTAAACGTGTACGATTGTGGTGGCTCCGTACATTTCTTAAAAAAAAATCAAACCGACACCTCCCTCTCTCATTTCTCTGGGTAAAGTCTCGGCTAGCATTCGAAATGTCGAAGGAGGGCCTCTGCGCCCGTGATGCAACTAAATTACATTGCGACGGTCTAACTTCGCGGTCACTCCGGGCTACGCTTCCTCAAAGAGGGGTCCAGCCAGCCAGTCGACAACTTACCAACAGTGGCTAACGTTCCGTGCTTACCCTCATGCGCGTACTACCCGTGCGCACCATATATAGAGTGCAGACGTCCCCTCCATCGGCCGGCACCGCTTCCACTAGCTCTTCTACGACGACTCGTACTTTCCTCTAGTCTCTGTCGCGCAGTTATCTTGCGGCTCCGTGTCCGTTTATACGTGCGTTCATTCGTTATCACTGACTCGGTACGGTGGTGGTGGCAGTGGAGCCCGTAGCTTGCACGATAAACGGAAACACGCGTGCATGCATCACAGACAGAGGATGCTGCTCTAAGAGCATACCACCCCAGGCTCCCCCTTCCTCCTCTTCCCCCTCTTCCCCACGCTCCTCATTCTATCCGTCGTTGTCGTTGTCGTCATCGTCATCGTCATCGTCATCGTCATCGTCGTCGTCGTCCTCGTCGTCGTCGCCGTCGCTGCCGCCACCGTCACCCTCACCACCGCCGTTGCTGCAAAGGACGATGCGCAAGAAGTCGTAAGGAGCAGCGGAGGGATATGATGCACCCCGTGTCCCGGAGGGGGCGTCCGCTGCTGGCCGGGTGGTGCTAGGGCCTGGCGCGGGCAGCTCCCCTAGTGAGAGTCCGAACATTTTCGAATCGAAGCGGCGCGACGTCGAACTCGACACGCTGGTGGAGCGGAGCGTCGGCCGGGAGCAGCCGACGCGTGGATAATCACGGATCGCGACGCCAGTAGCGCGGGTATACGCGGGTGCGTGCGTGCCTTACAAAATGGCGGACCTCGAGGCGGTGCTTGCGGACGTGAGCTACCTCATGGCCATGGAGAAGAGCAAGAGTACGCCGGCGGCGAGGGCGAGCAAGAAGATCGTCCTGCCAGATCCAAGGTAAGCCCGAGCTTCCGATGATCGGAGCCTGGTAACCTGCTACCCCATGACGGTCGATTTCACGCGATTCTCCTTTTCTTTCCGCCGGTGGTAGAGACAGTCGACTATGGAGAGAAGAGCCCCGGAACTCGGTCGTACTCTCAATTCAAATATTACTATCATTGCCGCGCCCCACTCCCCTTCGGCATCTCCCGCAGTTCGAAGAAAGTATAAGCCCTTGATGAGCTTTCACGCTAATTTGTGTTCGTGTCCTTTGAAATTGACGACTTCGCTCTTACAAGGGAAGTAATTTAATGATTGTCACAATGCTTTTTTTTTTTAATTTCCCTTAGGCTTTTAATACGTAACTTTATCGTCAATGGCTAACATTTTATTTCGACTCCCTCTCTTCTAATTTTTGAAAAACCCGCGACTGCCAGGACCAGTGAACTCGTAGTTTTGCGGTGCGCACACTCTGGATAAGATTTCGAGATAGAACTATTGGAACTTAACCATTGGGAGTTATTATTGTATCCATCCCGCCGTCCTTTAAGTTGCCTTCAACGACGTGATTCCGCCATTTTCAATTGACTTCACCATCACCACCTTTGCAACCATGTACCCCTTTTGCTCGCGCTCTTTCAGTCTTTTAGCGCACGACGACGCAATTTTCAGAGACGCTTCATTTGTTTCGAATGAACGACTCACAGTTTTCTCTACCAACGTATCACCACATCAGCTCTTTTTCCCAACATTTGTCCATTATAGGGCTGTTTTTGGCATCTAATTTCGATCAGAGGGAATGCGACCAGTCCTCGTTGTGACTTGGAGCTCTTCATTGATGGATATTCGAATTATGTTCTTAAAACGAGTTTATTTTTTGACTCCTCGACTTCTCGATATAAAACTAGTCTTCCTTACAAATTTCACATCGCTTCAAACAATTTTAATTATCTTAAAAGCTGAGAAATTTGCTCATGAACAACACCTGATATATGCATATACTCGTATTTTAATATGCATTTGTTGTATGCTTAAGTGTATATATATATAGTTACGGTGCGTGCCGAACCGTATCGGTCTATTTCTACTTAGCTAATATGTGTATTAATGAAAGAAATTCTCCGCATGCATTCATATATATGTAAATATATGGCTGCATAGGCAAATTGTCGATTGGTTAAACAGTTAATTTGTTAATTCATTAATTGTTGATTATCGAGTTTAGTTTCTTCATGTGATTCTAATGTTTATTTTATCAGTTGTAATATATTTTTAAATTCATGAATACTTTGAAGATCTTAAAAATTTGAAAATTTCGATAAAATTGGAAAAATTTTCAATCTTGTTTACACAAAAATCAATAAATTCTGAAAGTTATTTAATAAAACTATTATAATAGAATTATAAATACAGAATTTTATTATTTATTTATTCAGTCTGAAATGAATACTCTCGTAAGTTCCGAATTAATTTGTACAAAAAGTGATTTATTAGATTTTAAATTTAATAAAAATTATATACAAATATTATATACTACATAAAGATACATAGATTTTTAATTTTATTATATAATTTTTCATTATTTTTAGGCAAATCCAACAAGATTTGGGTTTAATATATAAACATATAATTATATAAACAAATTAATATTTATAATATATAAGTTTTATTTAAATACATTATATTTAAAATATTTTTAATATAATAAAGAAATTGACAAAATGTGTTCTCAAATGTAAGGCAATGAATGTGTATATAATAAAATTGAAAATCTATAAAATCAATCTATGACTTCTACTTCGTTATGTTTCTTTTAATTACTTATGGTCGATTTAATCAAACTATTACATAAATCCATAAAATATATGTAAAAAATATGTAAAAAAAATATGTTACTTATACGTGTAATTATAATTGATAACATTTTTAAAATATCTTTCCTACAGATATCACAATAATATCTTATCTTTTTAATTAATAAAAAAGAATTATGTGTTAATTATTAATGTGTTCTATTCGTGAACTTTAGAAATTTTATATAAAATTATTTTTTAAGGGTTATTTACAAAATACCTGTGCAATTTAGAGAATAATCTCGTGCATAGAATTTATTCAATTGCTTATAATTTTTTTTAATTATACAACTAATTATCGTATTTTAAGCAATACATGGCGTTGTAAGATTTAAATATAATATTTGTGTACAAAAATAACTGTTTGTATCGAGAATAAATTAGAATTTTTCAATTATTTTTCAAATTAAAATAAAAAGTTAATAAAATAGGTGTATACGAAAGTATAACTATTTGCAGTAAAATATATTTTGATTGATTCTTCTTAAAGATCAGATATTAAAAAATTATATAGTACTTCTATTTTAATAATATTATTATCATTATTTTTAAGAATAATAAATTTGTTTTATTTACTTATTTACGACATGTAAATACAACGAATACATTTTTATGTTATGTTGAGTTATTTATAATTTTAAAAAATCATAAATAAATAAATAAATATATATATATATATATATATATACCATTTCAAAGTTATATTATAAGAAAATTTGTGAACCTTAAAAATATATAAATATCTAATTGAAATAAATCAATAGTCTATTTTATGTATTAATGTAAAGCGTTAAATGTATGTATTATCTGAGATTTTCATACATCAAATATTTTTATATGATTATTATAATTATCAGCTAAATATTTGTTTGATGCATTAATTTGTATGTAATGTTTTTAAAATGAGTGAATTGTAATACGGAATGATGACTAGCTTGGTGGAGTCAATTAAGTGATGCAATCAATTTATAACAATTAGTTTTAATTATATACATCATTTTAATACCTCTAAATATTTTTTCTACAAAATTTTCTAATTTTTTTTAACTTTTTAAAGATTTAATCTTGCTTAGGATTTTATTATAAAGGAATACATGGCGTTTCATCGGTGACCTCTTTTTAAAACCCATAAATTTAAGCCCCGTTAAAAATCATGGTGAATATTGCAAGATGCGTACCATAAAATAAGGAAAAGGATAACGATAATAAATAAATATAAAATTAGCGAGCACAATAAAATTAAATTTTTTGTTTTTGTATTTTTTAATGAGTACTTTTCCTTTGGAAAATGAGAAAAATTTTGCAGACAGCTTCGTCATCATCTACCGTTGTAACATTGAATTTTTTTTCTTGATTTTTGCTCAATCTCTACTTCTTTAATAGATGATTCACATTTAGACTGATATTGCCTCCAATAAGAAAGAACTGTCGGATCTTTTAGAGTTTCTATTAGGATTTGTTTTAATTCTCTATTACTTTCTTAATTGTTTATGCTAAAATATAAAGTTGATCATTGTTGTGTTTCTAAAACAATTTCAATAAACATTTTTAATATTAGCAATATTATAGGATTTGATGAGTAGCTATTTTAAAATAAGGTTACTAATTGATACAATGACTCGTATATTAAAACTAATTTTATCAAAGATATAGAAATGAACAAATTTGAGGACACCATAAGAAAAAATTTATGTAAATATAATTTACAAAATTAAATACTAGTTGATATACATTTTAGTTAAATACATCTTGAATCTTATCAGTTGCTGATAGATAAAGTTGTATATATTTGATATATATTTGTCAGAACCCAAGTTAAGCTTTGATTTTAATTTAATACAAATATATAATTGAATTTATCTTAAAAATTTAATTGAGATGCTATCAATAAAATTACTGTCCATCATATTTCCATATTATTTTAAGTAATTATATTTTAGTATAAATTTTCATTGATATTTTTTTCATATAAATGAATAAATTATAAGTGAAAAATACTGTTATTCATTCATTAATAGATGGATTGTTTTAAATAATTAACATTTTATTTTCTCATATTTAAATTTTTATAAATATATTATTCATTTAAATGTAATTTTATATATTTTAAGGAAATTTATAAATTCTTCTTCGAAAAATTTTATAACACCCATAAAGCATTCAATTAAAATCTTATGATAAATGAATTTTAATTTTACATAACTAGTAGTTATATAGCATAAATAATTTAAATATTATAACATAGTTAGTAGTTAATAGATTAATAAAAAAAAACAATAAGAAGATAAAATTCATGTATTATCTTGTATTTATGTATTAACATTATATATGTATAATCTATTAACATTATTATCTTGTATAGTGTAAGACTTTTAGATTTTATAATTTATATAAATGGAATATAGTAATGCATTTAGCCACTTTTTCATCATAAACTTTTTACTTCTTAATGCATATATGAGAGGTAAATGATTTATGATTTAATTACACATATATAAATGAGTAAAATTAAACAATATTTGTGGCATCATCTAATGAATGAAAATCTAATCTATGATTTTAAGAAATTAAAATTCATTTGAAATTTAATATAAATTTAATTCGTATTTATTAATTTTATATTTTAATTCCATGGTATGTACTTATTTATTTTTTACTGTTTCGACAAATATTCATTCAGAAGATATGAAAAATAAAATAAAGTTCAGTGTACCATTAAGTAATTGATGTAATATTTAAAAGATATAATATCAGAAAATAAGAAATTAAAGTTCGAATTATATTTTGTTTTAGTTGTGTGATTTTAGTATAGCTATTTAGAAAACATTTTTCGATTAATCGTTTTACAGTTGTTTTCATTTATTTCTCAGTAATACATGTAAGAAATAATATACTCTAATTATTATAATAATAATATTATAATAATATAATAATAATAATAATTCTAATTATATGTTCCATACATTAAATAAATATACACAAATTTTTTTTTAAATAAATATTCGTGTTGTTATACTCATTAATTAAAAAAAAAACAATAATAATTTAACTTGTCTGTATCTTTACAGTATAATTTTTATTAAAACTATTTTAAAATTTTTGGGGACTATTATTTCAAAATAATAGTAATTCAAAATAACTGTAATTCAAAACATGTATGTTTCT